GTTAGTAAATCGAATTCAGCGTGACTACAAACGCCGCGCCGGTGCTGCCTACGTTCACTGCGGGACCCGTCGTCGCTTCGGCAGTGGTCCGGTGTGACCTCTCTCATGGCTTACTAGGCCTGCCTGACTAAGGCACCCGCGACCGCATGTTCTACAGCACCATGCGCTCGATGTCGATGGAGTACAATTCATCGGTGCTTGCCGCTTCCGCAAGTGCCGCATCTTCTCTGCATGCATGAAGGCTTTCTCCCGCACTTCGGCAACTGCCTCCGTGATTAGATCGCGCCATGTGCCACCATCAACCGCCTTCGATTCCCATGATCTGCAATCAAGATTAGAACGTGTGCGGCTCACTTTAATCACGTCCTGGTAACGTAACTTTGGTTTCCCCACGTGCCGCTTCCCAATACTCAGCTGACCATATAAAAGTTGTTTCTGTATCCGCGCCGAATCAATACGGCTCACATGACCGAGCCATCTCAGGTGTCGCAGTAAAAGTATGCCGTCCACTGCATACATTCCACTTCGGCGCAACACTTCCGTGTCTGCGACTCTGGCGCTCCAACCGATCCGCAAAATTCGTCGCAGACACTGTTGATGGAACCGCTCGAGATATCGCACATCCCGACGGTACATCGTCCACGTTTCACTGCCGTATAGGAGAACGGACAGTACCATGGATTTGTACATCATCAGCTTCGTGCCAACGCTAAGCTGATGGTTGTTCCACACTCGGTACTCAGGCTTCCCGTATGCCGCTGCCGCCTTAGACACGCGAATACGCAACTCAAAGTGTAGCTGCTGATCAGTCGATATCACAATCCCAAGGTAGCAAAAGCGAGAGGTGGTTTCCAATACTTCAGCACCAATGCTGATTTGCGGCAATATTGAAGCTTGCACCTCCGGTGAAGGCTGGAAGAGACAGACAGTTTTGCTTGTGTTGATGGTGAGCCCGAAGTTGGCCGCTGTCGAAGCCAGAGCACTAGTCATGTGCTGCAACTCATCCGCGCTGTGTGAAAACAACGCACAGTCGTCAGCAAACAGCAACATACGAATAGTTGTCTCACACACTAGAGTTCTCGCACCGAAACGACGGATGTTCAGCAACCCACCATCAATACGGTGCTCCACACGAACACCGCAAGCACAAGCCGCATCAAAAGCACAAGACAACATTGCATGAAGATAGATATTAAACAGGGCAGAAGCTAAGACACAGCCTTGCTTCACACCAGAGACAACTGCAAAGTCATCCGAGGTCTCTCCACTCAGCTGCACCCTCGCTCGCATACCACTGTGCAGACATCCAATTAAACTTACAAACTTACGCGGGCAACCAAACTTACCCAACTTCAGCCACAATGCCTCGCGGTTCACCGTATCAAATGCCTTGGTGAAATCAACAAAAAGTGAGTACAATGGTTGGTGTCCTTCTCTGCACTTCTCTTGCAACTGACGAGCCGCGAACACCATATCTATAGTGCTGCGACCCGAACGGAATCCACACTGCTCTTCCGCCACGTTAGGTTCCACAACCTGACTCACGAGGCGATTGAGCAGGATTCGGGCAATCACCTTGCCCACACAAGTCAGCAAGTTGATGCCACGATAATCCGTGCAACGTTGCTTGCTACCTTTGCCCTTGTACAGTGGTAGCACAAGGGCATCCTTCAGCTCAGGAGGCGCCTCCTCCTCAATCCACACGCGTTGCACCAAGTGGTGCAGCGCAGTCAACAACGCGGGTCCACAGTGTTTCAACACTTCAGGCGGGATCCCGTCGGCTCCGGCACACTTGCCGTTTCGCATAAAATGTACTAGCGTCACGGCGTCCGACTTTTCACTCCACCGCGCACGTAACAAGGCGTTAACCGACGGTCTTACACAAACTATTGTAAAGCGGGAATGACTCATCCGAGCCAGTTGAAACAATTCTACACCTTTTCCCGATGTATCGCATCCATATTGCAATTGATTTGCTCCCTAAGATTGATTTGCATCCGCAAACCAAGTTAATATAGTCCTTATCGCATGTGAATTGCATCCAGTATCCTTTCGACGCACCAAGCGCGGGCAGTTATATTGGTATTGAGGTAGCCCAAAGCAGCCAATGACGGTAAATGTAATGACCATTGCATGAAGGTATGAGTTGGTGGTGTGTGGTGGACTCGTGGGCGTTCTAGCCTCCATTCAGCAACGGTGCCTAGTCTAAAGCTAGTTCCGCGCCGCTTAAGGGCACGATGTTGTCCAAACACGTGGTGCAACTGGGTGGAGGTTTCAGTGCGCGTAAGTGCACCACCATGTACGTAAACGTATGCCTTACGAACGGCACCAGTGGGGGTGGTGCGAACACCCATTGGCGATGTTATGGCTAGTGTGGCACTGGCGCAGCCCAAAGTTTTGGACGACCTACCAACGCTCGGGCATACGATGGTGCTGTGTCCGGATAGCGAGGAGCAGGTGGGTGGCTACGAATGACCGGGGGCGGTGTGCTGGACTTGCGAGTAAAGCGACGTAAGGGGCCTGTGCAACCGAAATACATGTTGGAAGGTGGCGGCGTTGGGTTATACGGAGTCGTCTTGAGCGGCGGTCTGCTTAGAGGGCTGGCACCGAAATACGACTGTAGCAATTTCGTTACAAGGCGAGTATGCCCCGCTTGGTTACAGCAGGCGTCGCTTGCCATCATGATGGATGCATTACACCGAGTTGGTGGTCCCTGAATCAAATGACCGGGTTGTCGATAGTTTACATCGGCTGATCTGCACACGCATGCATGGTCGGACTGATGCCGACCCAACGTAAGGGCAACTGACATGCAAATCGGTACGCATCAACTAACTTCGTATCCCGTACCCAGTTGTGTGGTATGTTCGCACATGGGAGTCACTCCATCGTTACTTAACAGCTTGCTGGCCATTTCACCGCCTGTTTTCCAGCAAAGGTACCTGGCGAACACAACACAGGCGAGCAACACCTCAGTTGCTTCCTACGGTAGTTGTACCTGTAAGGCCCATAATTTCGCGAGACCGATAACACTAAATTCCCTGTCTAACGGCCTGTGAGCACGTAGTCTGCAATCGCAGATGGTAGTACAATGGTATATAACGGGTCAAATAGATTAGCCTTGACATGTCCCGTAGGATGCGAAATAAAGAGAGAAAGGTGAAATAATGAACGTACCAATAAAATGGAGTGTGATATGATGATTTAGCGGAGATATTTGCATGGTAACTGGTATACGTCCATTTACTTGCGACTACTCTCTCGCCATATTCGACATCTTCGGCACGAAGCGAGAAATTCGAGAACATAAGTTTCTGCATAAAATCCCATTTATACTTCCACATAAGAACATCAGAAGACGAAGGTTGTGGAATGACACTGTTAAGACGATCTACCAGCGCTCGGACAGGTCCGATGGGCCCGGATATCATGACAATCACAGGTGTATGACTGCGAATGATCGAGTCCTGGGATGCCAAGATATTATCGCGTGCTTGTGAATAAAGCGACAGAAGGGGCCTGCGCAACTTACCACTGAACCCTGAGTTGACAAGTGGTCACTTGGTTAGGAGAAAAACATCATGGGCGGCACTCTACTGAAAGGGCTGATGCCGTGATATGACTGCGACATCCTTCTTTTTAAGCCGTGTATGTAGCGAAAGATCTGTGCACCGCAAGCAGAACACAGTACCCCATACCATGCAGCCCAAAGTTAATTTCAGACACTCCACTTGCCATAAGGAGCTTGCATCAGAGGGCTAAGTATTACACCTTGGTGCTTAATGTGTAAGCGGTCGCAAGAACGTCCACTTTGGTCGTTTGCGTGGTCCATTTTCTCTGAACCCTGTATCACTAGCAATTAGCGGACAGCTCATGGTTCGCCGCATACATTGGCACAACTTATTCGCTGAAGCGAACGCAGTCGACTGCATAGCCCTCTGAAATGCCTGAGAATACGCGACAAACATCTATTTCGCACCCTGAGAGGGGTCAGTAGCTTACATCATACGCGTTCTCTTAACGTACTTAACAGTGTCTGTCCTCGCAACGCCTGCTGTAACCAAGCGGGGCATACTCGCCTTGTAACAAAATTGCTACAGTCGTATTTCGGTGCCAGCCCTCTAAGCAGACCGCCGCTCAAGACGACTCCGTATAACCCAACGCCGCCACCTTCCAACATGTATTTCGGTTGCACAGGCCCCTTACGTCGCTTTACTCGCAAGTCCAGCACACCGCCCCCGGCCATTCGTAGCCACCCACCTGTGACTGCCTCGCTATCCGGACACAGCACCATCGTATGCCCGAGCGTTGGGCTGCGCCAGTGCCACACTAGCCATAACATCGCCAATGGGTGTTCGCACCACCCCCACTGGTGCCGTTCGTAAGGCATACGTTTACGTACATGGTGGTGCACTTACGCGCACTGAAACCTCCACCCAGTTGCACCACGTGTGTGGACATCGTGCCCCTAAGCTGCACGGAACTCGCTTTAGATTAGGCACCGTTGCTGAATGGAGGCTAGAACGTCCACGCGTCCACCACACACCACCAACTCATACCTTCATGCAATGGTCATTACATTTACCGTCATTGGCTGCTTTGGGCTAGCTTAATGCCAATATCACTGCCCGCGCTTGGTGCGTCGAAAGGATACTGGATGCAATTCACATTTGATAAAGACTATATTAACTTGGTTTGCGGATGCAAATCAGAGCCTTAGGTTGCAATTCAATTGCAGTATGGATGTAATCAATCGGTGAAAGAGGAAGACCGGCAGCTATGATCTCTACCCATGCGCGGATGTATCACAGTAAGTTGTCACTGTCTGATGTTACCTAGGAAAATCAGTGCACTTACTTTTGAGACATGTTAATACATCTACCGCAGGAAGGCTCAAGAAGTGGATTAGTGTTGTCTGTTGTTCGTGGCTCACGGCACTGGAAGTTAATGTGTTCTTTCCGAATCGTCTTGCGATGATACTTCTGCTCTTGACACTTTCAGCGGATCAGTTTTGGGCATGATCCACCGCTTGTCGTTGGTTCATCGATGTGAGGCTCACAGTGTCGTTTTGCTACGACTTTCCCGCTTGCTATTGACTTTTCCAAATCTTCGATTGCGACCTTTTTGCTCTGAGGGAGCGATTGTTGGTCAAGCAGCTCAGTTTTTCCTCCAATATTCACGGAATAGTCGATCTTCAAACAGTGAACCGCTCGATGTGCGTCGATCCCGGCTTGTATACCAAAGCCGAAAGCGAGGTAGCCTTGAAAATTGTATTCTTCTAAGGTAAGTTCCTTAAAACCATGACTATCCATCGTGAAGCTGAAGAGTTTTTAATGTCACTTAGCTCTTCTGACGCCCCAAAGTCAAGTTGGCATTCGATCAAGAAACTGTTTGCATCACAAATAAGTACATCATTCATAGGGTACCACGGAGGACCAATTTGACAAGGTATATTGTCTCACGACATTGCATATTTGAACGATTTCCATGCGACTGTCAATATCTGTTCCTGAGTCTATGGCTGACAAAACGTCATATCCGAGAGCTGAGCCAATTATCGTCAGCATAGTTGTATTGTTGCTGTGTGACCAGTCCGTTGCTATTGCATGGTCTCGCGTCGGAAGCACGGTACTTCTGTCAGCCAGTCGAGAATTAAGACACTTATCACCAACATATCTTAATTGTTACTAATCATATGGGACATTCTCAGTGATTCATCAAGAACACCAGTCTCAGGCAAACAATTGTTTTCAATGATTCATCTATGGGCCGGTACAATCATATAAGGGTAAACTACAAAGGGATGGATAGTGATTGGTTCGGTGGTTTGTTCTGAAATGTCTCGGTCATTGGTTAGACAGCGAATAGTTCACCGCTGTCTCATGCACAAAGATCGATTGAGGGTTACGTAACCACAATGACTGAGCCGATGTCATGGTGACGGCTAGGCTGATGGCTGTTCGGCCAGGGCAAGTATAGAGATTGAACAAACTTTTTTTGCGATCACAGTGGGGGCTGGAATATGCGGATCGCAATGGCCTCTGCACTGGCGAGCATCATTAACCGTGTACCTTTTGATTCGCTCATTGGAACCTACTAAATCGCAGTAAAGACATTCCGAAGGTTAATCTGGTGACCAGATTCGAACAGATGAGCCAAAATACCGCTTATAAGAACTCCGGTGCCCCCGTTCAACAACCCTTTAAGGCTATGTTCCTTACTGCAACGTGACAGTTGACGTGTGGTTGGTGAACGGGGGCACTGGAGTTCTTACAAGCGGTATTTTATCTCATCTTTTCGGATCTTTTCACCAGATTAACCTCCCGAATGCCTTTACTGTGATTTATCAGATTCCAATGATCAAATCAAAATGTACACGGTTAATGATTCTCGCCACTGCAGAGGCCATTGCGATCCGCATATTCCAGCCCCCACTGTGATCGCAAAAAAAGTTTGTTCAATCTCTATACTTGCCCTGGCCGAGAAGCCATCAGCCTAGTCGTCACCATGACATCGGCTCAGTCATTGTGATTACGTAACCCTCAATCGATCTTTGTGCATGAGACAGCTCTTCGAACGCCGCAAAGATATCTCCGCGGAATCAGATTGCAACGAGCGGCGCCGTTCTACCAACCGGCTGCTTAAGCAAAGCCTACGTAAGGATCGCGAAACATGGTGGTATGAGCGTGCTTTAGAGATGGAGACTGCTGCCCTCTCTGGTAACACTCGCAGGCTTTTCCAACTCATTCGGTCCACTGGCCTCAGGAAGCCTGGTGTCAGTGAGGTCATTTGTGAGATGGATGAGTCTCCGATCACCAACCAACAGAGGCGTATGGACCGCTGGGCCGAGCACTTTCACTCACAGTTCAACTGGCCTCCACCATCCATCAGTACATGCAGTACACCTTGCTGTCCACCCTGGCTCGTCCCATTGAATCCACCCAGCGAAGCAGAAGTCTGCCTCGAGATTCGACGCTTGAAGCGCTTCAAGGCTGCCGGCTTAGACGGACTTCCTCCGGAGCTATTCAAGTATGGCGGTGTGGCAGTCATTAACCAGCTAACCGCGCTGTTCACAAAAATTTGGCATGAAGAGAAAGTGCCTTCCTCTTGGGGCGAATCAGTTATTGTCCCAATTTTCAAGAAAGGCGCTCGCATTTCATGTGCAAATCATCGCGGGATTAGTCTTATTTCGGTTGCCTCTAAGCTGTTGGCATCCATTCTACTTCGTAGACTATCCCCAGTACGTGAATCATACCGTGAAGAACAAGTTGGTTTCCGTCCTGGCCGCGGATGCGTGGATCAAATCTTCACGCTCCGCCAACTCCTTGAACATCGCCACATTTATCACAGGCCCACTATCGTTGCATTCCTAGACATACGTGCCGCTTTTGACTCCGTTGATCGACCTGATTTATGGCGTTGCTTGCTAAAGAATGAGGTGCCAGAGAAATATACCGCCATCTTACGAGCACTTTACCTTCATACATGCGGCAGAGTGAGGGTCTATGGCAAGCTTTCCTCGCAATTCGCTGTCAATAGCAGTGTGCGACAGGGCTGCCCTATGTCCCCATTCCTCTTCAACTTCGCAATCGAAGACGTTCTGTCGAATGCCCTAGAAGATTTCCAACATTTTGGCCTAGAGCTTCTACCGGGTGAACGCGCGACCGACTTAGATTATGCTGATGATATCGCCTTACTTGGTGACGATCCTCAGGGTATGCAACTCATTCTGAATCTTTTGGCTGTTGAAGCATCTAAGTATGGTATGAGCTTCGCCCCATCGAAGTGTAAAGTACTGCTCAAGGATTGGCTTTCACCTGCACCCGTGCTCACTCTCCAAGGTGCACAACTTGAACAGGTAGATAGTTTCGTCTACCTTGGGAGCTGTGTTTCCGCTGACGGCACTATCAACAAAGACGTTTCGCTTCGTATCGCTAAGTCTCGATCAGGATTTGTCAATCTGAGGCAATTGTGGCGTCGTCGCGACGTCTCATTCTCACTAAAGGGCCGAGTTTACAGCGCGTCAGTTCGCTCAGTATTGTTGTATGGGAGCGAGTCCTGGCCGATTCGCGTGGAAGACATGCGTCGTCTTTCTGCGTTCGATAACGGTTGCTTAAGGAGGATCGCTCGTGTTCGGTGGCAACATCGAGTTAATAGTAATGACGTTCGACGTCGCGTCTTGGGGAATGCAAGTATTTCCTTCAACAAACTGGTTTTGTTGCGCCAGTTAAGATGGCTCGGTCATGTCCTACGCATGGCACCTGAGCGTCTACCGCGTCGCGCTCTATTCGCTCGTCAAGGACCTGGCTGGAGGCGACCGCGTGGTGGTCAGCCTTCCACTTGGCGGCAGCACATGAAATCGCTGACGTCGCGTCTAGCCGCTGTTGGACCCGTACATCTTCCAGGATGGGGACCCAAAGATGAGGAGTGCCAATGGCTTAGGACTCTTGAAGACATGGCCCGCAACCGGAACCAGTGGAAGAATTGTGTACAGTGTTGTATTGATTCACATGTTTAATACTACCAACATTGAAAATGACAAAAAAGAGAAAAATCGGCGTGTGACAAACAAACTAAAAATGTTTTGTTCTGTATTTTTGTCAAAATATTCCATTTTCTTGCGGCATATTAACTGAAGTGTGTTGCCCACCTTCAACTAGCATGCCACGACGATTATGACGCAATGACTATCTCTTATCCACTGATTTCCATGGCTTTGTTGGCTCTATGTCTAGTTACTAGACTGTTGAGATTACATACATTACATACATACAGCGGTGAACTATTCGCTGTCTAACCAATGACCGAGACATTTCAGAACAAACCACCGAACCAGTCACCATCCATCCCTATGTAGTTTACCCTTATGCGATTGTACCGGCGCGTAGATGAATCATTGAAAACAATTGTTTGCCTCAGACTGGTGTTCTTGATGTTACTAATCACTTTAGTGTCTTGCCAATACCACAGTTAAGCACCTTGATCTCTACCTGGTGTCTCAGCTACTTTTTGTTGTCTTGTGTCATGTGGTCACTGGTAGCTTACACGTTAGCCAGAAGCATTCCGGGAGTGCATAATGTTGCATCCTATATTTTCGCTGTACTGTCACCCGAACACAGTTGAAGGTTAGTCCTTCTTTCTGATCATTTGTTATATACGGATTGTTACGTGCCCAATAATGCGATATTCTCACTTGAACTCGAACGGGAACTATCGTTCTATTTCTATCCAGTGCATTACCAAAGATCCCTTTTTCAGTTAACGTTTACCTGCTCATAGTGAGATAATACTTTTCCCCGAAGTGATATTCAGAACAAAGGTTTTTGAAGAACAGATTTTGATTCAAGACAAGTGATGCATTAAGCCCCATTACACACGGGACTAGTTTACACCACTTTGTCATGTTGAGAAAGTTATCCTGAGAAGCTCAGAGTGCCCGCTAAGCACGCCACCCCCCTACAGTAATATGTTTAACCCGTAGCGTGCTACTAATGCAAACCATGTGTGATTTTGCACGCAGACAGCAATAGGCAGCAGAAGCGAAAGCGGAGTTCTGACTCTGCTTTTTCTTCTGCCGTTCCCGTGTACATGTGTGACACCAACGGCGGGTGCTGCTATCGGTGTCAGAATGCTGGTTTATTGAGATGATACTAAGCTATTTGTGTTATGTGCAAATTAATGTAGCCTCTGGTTCACCACGCGCATTCGCGCCTCTTACCTACCCCGACTACATGATCAATAGGTAGCTTAGCCATTGCGATTGTGATTGAATCTCTTAGATTTCACCGTTGTATACTTAATCTGAATCTGTTGTACTCTGGCCGATGCGCCTTCGCAAGTGCTGGTCCGGATCACTCATTCTTCGCTTTCATAAATTATTTGTCGGCAAACTCCCTCATGTTGCTTTCTCTCTCAGTGTTCTCGATCTATCATTACACGACTAAATGTGATGTTTTATTATCTGCCACGTATAATTGATCCACTTGTAGACCGTCAGGGAAGCTCCGTTTCGCCTAAACGGTCTTTTGGCTAATAAACACTATTCCACACTTGCTACTGCATGTTTTGTTACACATTACATTGTATTCCATGTATTCGTTTTTTGTTGTATCTTTTATTCGGATGCGCCGACGCTATTCCCTTTCCTTCATGAGACAATTACATATTGAACACTCGTGGTTCACACAAGTACGCTTTTCTTGTTGACTATACCTGGCTTCTCTATACCTTTTCTTCGTCGATTGCGTCCATAGAGCTTTTGAATTCCACTTTAAGGAAATCATGCTTCTCCATGTGTCTATCAATATGGTCCTTAACGCTATCAAATTGGGTCGAACTGGGGAGAACGCCCCTGCATGCTGCTGCTTACTGGATGAGCAATCCCAAATCAGCGAATAGCATCCCACTCTGCGTACTCATCTGTTACACTATTGGATGATTTAGCATTGGGCACTCACCGATTAGTACGCATTTATTAGAAGCGTTTGCGCCCGTTGGATACAATTTGATAGCCTTAAGGACCATCTTGAGAAATCAATGGGGAAACATGATTTCCTCAAGGAGAAATTTGAAATTGCATCGATATGTAATTGGTTGAGAAAAGTTATGGTTTGTTTTGAACGGTTAAGTCATGTCGCCACTTTTATCACTTATCAAAATCTTTACCTCCATTCGGCGCTTGCTCTGCCATCCCAACTTCTTATGTATACTCTTTTCATTATAGTACATTCGCTGATGAATATCTAGACATGCTATCTCCCGAAGAGTTGGCTGCTTATGACGCTTTAATAAACTCACCGGACAACGAATGGGACATTTACCATTGGGCTACAGGTAAGCTGGTGTCTTTCCCTATTGCAACATGTCTGGTTGTACGCTGCGCACATCTATACCGTAGGCTTTTTGGATCCTACAATGGCCTTCTATCCGTGCTCTCAGGCCATCTCTGCGTATGCTATCCGGAGCCCAAGAGTGACTGATAAATCCGCCGTATTCTTTCCCAAGCATGACCATCGCTTGCCGGGGCGAACCTGCATTCGGGCAACATGGCACGCGGTATAAACGACCCTTGCAAATTAGTACAATCTTTTCCCCTTACTTTCCTCTGTTTCAACAACCGTAGCGAACAACATCTGGCATGAATATCATTGCTAAATAATCAAATTATAACCGGTACTACAAACGCACTGAGTCATTGACTTCAGACCACTATAGAGCGGATATCGGATGTTTTACGTACAACTGGCAACCTCAGACTGGGATATGGTCAACCTTAGAAGGTGCTCGTGGACAAATGTGATCTGAATTAGACGTGTCACTCGCCTATTTCGCCCCATTCGTTTTAATCATTTACCATTGGATTTCCAGTTCACTGATAGATTGGTAACAACTTTTTGGACATAATGAACACTTGGTGGGTTTAGGTCGCTGCTACACACAGACCAAGGTAGACCTAACCAGAATTGTTATTAGGTTGCCGAGTATGTTTCCCGTGTGTAATTACTCTCCTTCCGTATCACCTGGCTTGCACCATCTCAGATTCTCCGTTTTACTGATTCCCTGGAGGGACAGATAACTTAATGTTTCCATCGCGACGAGGCTGGACCTTAACGTGGTGTGATGGTTTACGTGCCTCAGCGGTCCATTGAGCTAGGCTGGGTGGTGCTTTTTGCACATTCGGAGCCACTCACACCAGCTCAGTCAATGGTCAGAGACCAGACAAGCTCAGTCTCCTGGCACTCCACCTTGGGGGTGGAGTGAGGATGGCCCCTAACTCCATAAAAACGAACTCCCTGTAGTCCAATGCCTTGCGGTAAGGTTTTCGAACCAAAGTATTTGCTCGAGAACGCTAATCGCTACCTTGTCTCGGCCTGGGCAACCTGACAGTATTCTGCCGACGCAATACAATGAATCTTTCTTCTAACAATTTCTGGATGCCGCAGAAAATAATCCACGACGCCCTATCTGCTGCATCGAGCGGGATGGATAGGGGTTTGGATGCTGCTGTTCAGGCCTTCTCGTCTTCTTATTCCCCTTCTTGCATTTTTTCATCTTTACCGTCCCGCTCCAATTTCGCTTTTACCCCTCCTGTTTCCAATCCCCCAATTCTTGACCCTCCCCACATTGCTCCAACAGTTGCTTGTCTTCTAGTTTCAACTCACACAATCGCAGAGCGTCGCTCCACTCCAGTCGACAAGTCCATGTTCAACCCAACGGACAACGTCAGTTCATCCATTTCCCTATGGAGTCCTCGATCCACGCTAAGACTGGCATGCCTCAACGTGCGCATTTTGCTACAGATTGGCCCACAGTTAGCACTTGCCCGAACACCAAAGACCCTATCGATCAATATTTCCTGTTTATTGGAAACCTGCCTGCAAGATTCGAGCTCCGTGCTTACCGTGCGCTCCCTTACTTGCGAAACTGGCTACACATTCTCGTTGCGCGTGTCTGCCGATGACACAGCCTCAAATGCTGCTCAAGTTGGCGTCGGCACTATTTTAAGTCCCCGTACTGTCGCAGCCTTGATCGATTGGATCCCGGTCAACAGTCGGATGCGCGCCGTTAGATTAGCTGGTTCCTTCCAGGCTTCGAAGTCGCGCGGGAACAAACGGTGCCTGCTTGACATTGCGGTCTACACTCCTACAAACTGTAGCATTGATTCGGTGAAAGGATTATTTCTATCGCCAACCTAACGATCTCATTCGTTACAGAAGCACGGATACTATGGTGTTGACTGGTGATCTAAACACCAAAGTCGGAAAATTGTCCTCTGATGAACTTTATCTGGGCGGCCAACGTGGTGTATGCTCCCGTAATGATAACGGTGGGCGATTGCTACACCTGTATGAAGATGGTCATCTCTTTCTTGCGAGCACAAACTTTCGACACAGCACTCGGAGAAGATTGACTTGGCGCCCACCAGCCTCGAATCAGCCATGGACGCAAATCGATCATGTCGCGATCAGTTACCGCTGGAGAGTTTGTGTCCAAAACTGTCGCTCGATTTGGAGCACGAGCGTGGACTCCGGTCAGGCTCCTGTGCGTGCCGACCTTCAGGTGCGTTTCGGCGGACGTCCGCAACATCGATGTGAACGCATCGACACCAGCCAGCTGGCGAAGCCATGTGTTCTGTATGTGTATCGAAGTACGCTGGTATCCGAGCTGAGTAAGCGGCCACTGAACACCGTCGAAGATCACTGGTTGCCTATTCGCTAAATGTTACTATCAGCAGACATGTCTTCATGTGGCAAATTAAATTGCCAACCTAGATATTGGGTCTCTACAGTCTCTGGAACTTTTGGATGCTCGCCGACGTATTTCGGATGAAAGCGAATACAATGAGACTCGTAAAAATCTCCGGCAAAACTGCCTGCTAGCCTGAAGAGAGACCGCGAAACGTGTTGGTCTGATTGTACTTCGGAACTGGAGACCGCTGCTGCCATTGGTAATCATCGTAAGTTATTCTGTCTGATACAGAAAACAGGCAACAGATGACCAGGTGTTAACGAGACCATACGCGACGAGAGTGGACAGACTATTCACATCTGTCAAACCGGTTGGAGTGTTGGGCCGAACACTTTGCAAGACAATTTAACCAACTTGAGTTATCGCATTCTTTTTCAGGCATAGAGCGTCCTTCTCCCTAGGCGTCTCCTTAGATCCACCCTGGCGCAGAAGTCGAACGTGAGGTCAGGCTGTTAAAATTGAATAAGGCCGCAGGGACAGATAGAATTCCCCCAGCCCTCTTCAAATTCGGGGAACCCGTTCCTGTAGATGATTTACGCGAGTTGCTAGTGGAGGTTTGGGAGCAGGAAACTGTCTCAACAGACTGGAGCCGCTCCGTCATAGTCCCAATTTTCAAGGGAGGCTCCCGTTCGGAATGCGGCAAGCATAGAAGGATCAGTCTGGTCTCAATCGCCTCTAAATTGCTTGCGTTTGTTGTTCTCCACAGACTGACTCGCACTCGTGAAAGCCAGATCCGTGAAGAGCAAGCCGGGCTTCGTCGAGGTCGGGGCTGCATCAACCACATGTTCACCTTGTGTCAATTGTTGGAGCACCGCTGTGTTTATTGGCGACCTACCGTTGTCGTGCTTCTCGACATAAAAGTTGTCTTCGATTCGGCGGATCGATGTGCCCTTTGGGACTGTCTGCTCAGCAAAGGTGTGCGCGATAAATACGTAAACACTATCAGAGCAATGTAGGCGCATAGTTGAGGCAGAGTCAAGGTTTATGGCAACTTGTCGCCGCCCTTCAATATCTCCAGCGGTGTTAGACAAGGCTGCCCGCTGTTACCTTTCCTCTTCAACTTCGCCATTGACGAAATGATGGAAACATCGTTCGTTAGGCTTAACCTGGTTATGAGTGGTTATAAGCTTGACCTTAATTTTATGACTGAAAAATTTTGTGAAATATCTTAATAGTTCGCTCAGAGCTATTGCGTGAAAAATTTGCCTACTTTCTGCCCATTTTCTCCCCGGGACACGGAATCTGACCTTGCATCGAAAGTCCTATGCAAGATGCTTAGCGAAAGCTCAATTTAAAGGACTGTATGCTTTTGACGCATTCGATGCGGGGAAACGGGATTCATGCGTCCCATGCAATCTTAATGATGAGTGACAGTTTCTTTTATGCTGTTTAAAACTATAAGCGCCACAACGAGGTTGTTTAAATGGAACTAATCTATTTCGCATGTTTTTTTAGTTCAGAAGTAGCATTGAACGTACTGAGCAACAAGCGATGCCAAATGGGCATCTAGGTAAATAAGCGCATTTTGACCTGCGGCATCAGCAACACAAGAAGTCTTGACGAATTACACGAGAGAAGGAATAAGGTAGGTGTCATTCCAGCGCGACACTCTCTACTACGCTAAAAAAATTTCTAAAATATATCGGGGTCGAAGGAATTGAGAACATGCAGAATAAATTTTATCGTCGTTCTCTATTGTCGATAATTCCCTCGATCGTATATTGGACTGTAGTGCAACTTCTACATGCTAATGGCCCAAAGTGATGGGTAAGTAAAATGCAGTCCCGAAGCAGGGAGACTGAAAGTGTAAAGCCGGAAGTATAACAGTTGGGGTGGAACTCGAAACGTCAATGTTGGAAGGAGCAACACCGAAACACCACCGGTTCAGATACGGTCCTTGTGATCGGAATGATCGAGGTATACTTCAATGTGAGCCGAGGTCTTAATAGAGAATGCGTGTCGCAATCCAACCACACGGCAGGTATCCCAAATACAACTCTGAATTTCTTACTGATGTGCCAAGCATTGCCCACGGATCTTAGTAGTATAGTGATCAAGGTGTCAGCCTATAGCCATTAAACTCCGAGTTTCACCCCAGCTCAGGCTATCTCTAACTGATGCAAACATGAAGCGATACAAAACATGCACGGAAAAAATTCCAAAACAAGAAATACAATGGAAATAGCATTTTATGCCATTCGTAGGTGATCGGAATTGCAGGGAGAATCTAAAAGAGAGGCGAACGAACAAAGAAACGCACAACCCAAACGAGACTGAGGCCGGCTCTCCGCCACATCAGCAAGTGTGTCGCCAATAAACATGGCGGTGCTCCAACAATTGACACAAGGTGAACATCGACGAAGCCCGGCTTGCTCTTCACGGATCTGGCTTTCACGAGTGCGAGTCAGTCTGGGGGAACAACAAACGCAAGCAATTTAGAGGCGATTGAGACCAGACTGATCCTTCTATGCTTGCCGCATTCCGAACGGGAACCTCTCTTGAAAATTGGGACTATGACGGAGCGGCTCCAGTCTGTTGAGACAGTTTCCTGCTCCCAAACCTCCACTAGCAACTCGCGCAAATCATCTACAGGAACGGGTTCCCCGAATTTGAAGAGGGCTGGGGGAATTCTATCTGTCCCTGCGGCCTTATTCAATTTTAACAGCCTGGCCTCATGTTCGACTTCTGCGCCAGGGTGGATCTAAGGAGACGCCTATGGAGAAGGACGCTCAATGTCTGTAAAAGAATGCGATAACTCAAGTTGGTTAAATTGTCTTGCAAAGTGTTCGGCCCAACACTCCAACCGTTTGGACAGATGCAGATTGCCTGTCCACTCTCGTCGCGTATGGTCTCGCTAACACCTGGTCATCTGTTGCCTGTTTCCTGTATCAGACAGAATAACTTACGATGATTATCAATGGCAGTAGCGGTCTCCAGTTCCGAAGTACGAACAGACCAACACGCTTCGCGGTCTCTCTTCAGGCTAGCACGTAGTTTTTCCCGGAGATTTTTACGAGTCTCCGCAATATCACTTTCCTTGTCTGCCTTTGTCCCGGAGGTACGCGGCATAGTACTAAGCGAGGTGCATACTTGCAAAACGCTTTGTCCATATTGTTGTCAGCTTCCTATAGCTTTTCTTCAGAACGCTGTTCTCCTACTTCATTCTGGCCCATTTCTTTTGTGAATTTCCTCATTTATATGGTTTTTCTGTATCTTACAGGTGCTAAAGAAGCTCCGGAGGCTTTCCATTCAGACGTGCTCGATTTGCTCAAAGCACATGTGCAGAACAAACGCTGTGAGCTAAGAAACCAGCAACCCCCGTTGAAATTTCGGCCATCCTAGTAGGAATTCTGCTGCAACACACCTGGTCTCATTCATGACAGCTTTTCGAAAAGGTTTTCGCTCTACATTCACTTTGTTTATCTTTCATTTATTCTTCCATACAAAATCCGCTCCCTGTTACGGCTTTCTTGGTTCTGATTCTGGTTGAGTTAACCGTTGCCCCGTAAATTCTTTCATTGCAGTGGTCACATCAGTTGCAAACTTCCAATTTTTGCCATCAATCGTAGCGGGTGTGATCATCATAAGAACGCTGCATGGCGGACTTCCTCCCATTCTTCTTTTTCGGCAACATCGCATTGAAATACCTTCCATCTAATGGTGACCTGGATCTTTCCCTCTCAGTTTATTTTATCGCTTTTCACATAGTTGTTGAGACGTTATTCCTACGGGTGCGGAATGTCTTCCCCCCTCTTCCAAGTCACTTGTCAACATTTTGATGACACGTGTGGTATGCTCGCGATTCCACTCTGTCTGTAATCCAAAGTTTAACCTCAGGCATGCGTCTACTACACTGATGGTTGTCCCGACTGTACACTCGATCCATTCGCGTAAGTCAACACAGTAGACATTGTCTTACTCATTTTAAAAGTGAAAGTCCCCATCTGTCGTGCTATCTGACTGCAGCGGTTCTGTATGTCTGAAGTTTATCGCAACTGACAGGGACTCCTACTCAGGCTTTGTCCGGCAAACGTTGTACACAACCAGTCAATCTCCTAGAGAGAGAGTGAAAGTGCAACTGCATGGAGGGTTTGAATCTTGCAACAATTTGTATAGAGTTGTAAGCAGGCTATCGTTGTTAAATGGAAGCGTCTTTGTTGATATCAATGCTATCTACTAAAGATCATCACATATCCTCAGTGATGTAGCCATATCCGTAATATATGCGCTGGAATCATGATGATCGCCAGAAATAACTCTGGGATACCGCGTTATGTCACTGGACGCCAAGGGCTGGGAAACAGTTCAGCTCTTCCATTTCTTCGCATTTATCATGTGATGTACTCCGAGCGCATGTTCTGCGTGTGTCTACCGTATCCTGTCACTGTGTTTGGTACCGTTGTTACAACTTAGCACGCAGATTTACTGACACCCTACTTTTTTAATGACCGTAAAGTCTACACCAGAACCGATACCCTTTCTTGATCTAATCGCACCGCTAGGTGGGCTGTTCACTTGTTCCTGACTGGGGTTCACTTCCAACTAAATCGTGGTTCCAATCCATTCGCACAGTGCATGCTTCAGAAGAAGCCAGTATTGGCAATAAATATCCGTTCTGACTGGCTGGCAGAAAATGCTTTTATGAGCCACAACTTTCTCCCTATTGTACAATCAAGCTGCTCGTAGGACTTCTTTTTGGGATTTGCTCACCAGGGAACTTAACAAACAGGTGATCCATTTTTCCCATTTACTTTAGACCAGTTGCCCAACTGCGGTCTCTGTAGTAAAGTGTGGTGGGTGTTCTAGTTTTTTCCTTTAACATACTGAACAGTCCTAAAGCAACTGGCATTAGTAACATTACGGTATCGCCGAAGACCCAATGTAATGAACACCTCGAAAGGGCCGGAGACTTTAGCCACCATAGCAACTGAGGCACATGAAAGGATTTGTCGTTCTAAGAGTGTCTTGATTTTCAATGTAACTGACAGATACCCAATCGAGAAACTGTAGTGCATGCTTTTATCGTCTGCTTTCCTCAGTGCTTAGGAATGCACTGCCATGCGTCTCTTGGTAAAAAGTTACCAAAACACGATTGTCCGATATTGCTAAAATTCACCTTAGTGAATGCTGCACGATCATTCATTGACAAGCGGTCATCGATTATTTCTGACGACATCTGGGCGTCTGACGCTGTTCTTGACTCCTCCATCTGCTAAGGACTGTCTAGCATGCGTTGTCTCCGACGTTGATGTACCATATGCGGATATAATTGCAAATAAAAGTGCACTTTAACATGTTCCAAAAACAATCTGTTTAACCACAACGCCGCTTATGCCCGAAATTTCTTGCGCAAGAATAAAGAGCCTTGCTCCAACGTCAAATCTCAATGAACCTACCTAACCACTAGAAACATTATCTTCGGACTAATACTCGGCCTGGAAGAGTTGTGGATCTAGACATAACTTCTTCCTACGAAATGAGGGACATGCGTAACATACTGAGGTGTCGATTGTCCATGAAAGGGCGCCTAATCTTAATAAAAAGGCTGCGGCCGTCCTCCATGATGTGCTTTGATCCTGTGCTCCTTAACCTGTCAGATGCACCTGATGTTAAGACGCTGTATTCTGGATGTGGACAGCTCACCATATTCAGCGAAACGGTCTTTAGGACACCAAAAAGAGCTCAGCGTTTCGTCCGCATCTTCTGGAAGACTGTCAAACCACTATCATATTATGGGTTCCTTGTACAGTCCACAAGTGCAAACCTGGACTACAGTTCTACCGCCGAATTTCTTAGACCAACGTTGGTGTTGTCCTCTATCGCCCTTACCTCCCAGTCTGACATACCCGGACAGCCATCGCCTTATCAGCCAGTTTCTCAACCCAACCCATGTATAAAGGCCTCAGTGTTCCTCAACTGTCACCATCATTACCAACTGGACAAATATTACCGCAATCATTCTCTCCATTTTCTCTGAAGTATTATACTTGCCTTCTGAGCGGGGCAATGCACGCTCTATGAATATTAAAATGCACAGTTTTCGTCATCATATTGCTCCCTCACTTCCCCATTTAAATACTTGCTACTTGAATATGGTTCTCCTCCTGTGTACCTCCACATACTACCACACTGCAGTCTACACTTCTTTCGTGAGTAGGCGCCATACGAGCAATGATGGTGAGTGCGCTCCTTATGCTCGGGGCAGCTATTCACCTATTCAAAGTCAATGAATCCGTATGGGTTTCTGTGGAATTGAACAATACCCACATTCTGGCGTATTATTTACATATCCCGCCGCACTACGATTTCTCTTATATCATCTCTTTTCTGCTTTTGAATACGCCTCTGAGCTGACTTTCACACATAACTAATTGGTAATGACTTAAGAATACTGGGTATATCTTGAGAAAAGTGGCCTGCACTACCTAGGCTCATGAGTCTCATTTCAAAAATCCATCTACTGGGATGGACACAAGCCGTGCACAAACCAATTGGGGGAAACAATATATATGAACTATTATTTACTCACGACACTTTTAACACCACTGTAAAAGTGCTGTCTTCTTTACATGTAGTGGTCATAATGTTAAAAATAAGAATCCCGAAACCCAATCTTCAGCCTTTGGCGGCGCTACGCAGAGAATTTGCGAGCTTAGGCTGGAGTAATTTTTCTTCTTTTCTGAGAACTACAAACTGGTATCTGTTCTTTCTTGTCAAAGGACCACAGACTTCGGTTGATGAAATGGGTGCAAACATCCAACAAGTCCTAGACGCCCTTGCGCCTAGTGTAATCAAGTAAAAATGTCACAGTGATAACACCGCGTGCAGATCGCCTATCCAAGCAATTGGAGTACGTGTTCAGGTTAGACGGACACTTGCTTTCTCTTTGTTGATAAGACAGGACAAGCTCATTGTCGAACTTGAGTTGAACCGCGCACTGAGCCTAACAACAAATTCAGAGACTTAGTCAAAATGATGTGCACACGGAATAGCAGCCAACCCAATACAGTTTTCGCCATCATGTTACCGAACAAATTCCTGGCCTCGGATCCTTGTACAATAGCAGATAATCTGATTATTCACTTTAGTTTGTCGTTCATTGTTCCATGTGACGTACTCTTGTCAAATACACCCAATAACATTGTAACCCTGCACACGGGGAAGTTCAACTGTAGAGATATACAGCACGATATAAACCGATTACTGCCATCCTCTTATCCTGGCTCGGATGGTCGGCTAAAATATGGTGGCCCAGATATATCATTCATACCCCTAAACATGGTCATCATGTCCACGGTGTTGCGAATGCTTTCCACCTAAAGGAAATTTGCACCATTCAGCCTTAGGCACAATAATCGATATAAGAAACTACCACCCGATTAGTCGCACGCATATTGTTGAGAGTATTGGAGCGAACAGTAAGAGAAAGCAGTGAACAATTTAACACCTTGAAATATGCTTGAAACCGATCGAGAATCCATAATTTCAGAACAGTGAACCATTTATCATAAACTTTATATTATCGTTTTTGGCGAGGAGCGCCTGTGACGGCATGTTCAGATAAATAAATCATTTATAGTTCAACGACCGCGAATGATCGGAAAATGTGCAACAGTAATGCAAATCGATTTTCACTTTGACATGAAATAAAATTTGTCTGTTGTTTAAGCGTGATACCCCTTGTTGCACAGGATGTCTATGTCGAGTTTGGCAGGTCTCTTGAGGATATGAATATTGAAATGTATAAAGTGGGTATTAATTTTCTTTAAGCACTTTGTGATCGTTGCTTTGTTCAAGACAATTAAGTAGTATCGAATTCTGGTAGTGGCACTCACATGAAACTGAAGTAAGAGGCGCACCTGTAATAAATAAATGTAAGAGTAAACCGAACTAAGAGTAGTGGGAACATTCACAATGAGGACAGAGAATGTGGAGGTATGTTTGACTGACTTCTTCCCTCATAACACACTTGTTGGTGACAACTTTGTCGTTGGCATAGGTAAGAAGGAGAGAGATGAATACGAGGAGTACGGGGACTTTGCTATTGCAATATTCGCTCTCTGTTGTAGACTGTTTTCTGGATCAGATAGACTTTGGACCTTGTTTTCGTATGCTTGGCTGTTCGATTTGTGACATCCCAATAGATGGATCACATTTTGCACGGTCAAGTATTTGCTGGTCCCTTTTTTTGAAATTCCTGCTCTGAATGGGTAGCACGGATATCGGTTGGCAATTTGCTCCAGATTCCTGCATATCTGTTAAAGAAGTTAGCGAATCTAGTGGTATTCGACCTGCATTCAAATACTGAATTTTCTTCATTTCGTGCGTTGTATCATGGTGATTGTATTTTGCCATGTTAAGATTGGAAACATGTGTTTTCTTGTGCAAGACGTTATAGAATATGATCGGGTTGTGTGTTTCATACGCATCAGCCAGAGCGGATCAAGCTTGAGTTTCTCACATCGTTCGAAATATTCTACTCTCATTGAGGTACCTAATAAGCGCTTTGTGAATGTCCGTTGTACATTTTCTAGTACAATTCGGTCCCGTTTGTCTGCGACGCTATACACCGAGAAGTATTCCAAAAGAGGACGTGAAAGTGATGAATGAGCGCAGAGTATAGATTATTTTACTTTGCAAATTCTATATAACATTCCAATGCCTTGTCTGGTCTTTGCAGTGACGTAGGTTACTTGTTCGGAGATGTTGAGCGAGCATGAGTATCTCAGTCCCAGGTGGTCACGAACAGTATGGCATATAGTAATTTGCTGGCCACAAGTGTTCAAACTTCTAGATGTTATGTCACATTTGTAAGACAGCGTAACACGTATCTGTCGTAACTAACATTCTCAACTTTGAGCACTAGGCTCCGAGCGCGTGGATGTCAAGCTGGATCATATTGGGAGTTTC